TGAATATAATACTGGCGGTAAGTCAACTACAATCCAAAACCCAGCCACTGGGTACTGATATCCATGTAAAGGTAGGAAAAAGGATCATACAGGTGGAAAGTTAACTACAATCCAAAACCCAGCCATCTGGTGGGGGTAGGAAAGGGGATCATACCATCTTCACCTCACATTCATGAGAACAGAGGGAATCTAGTATCCCCTGACTCATGAATTGGGCACATGTGAATATGATAAATTGATAGATTGATCTGGGAACATGACATTTGCAATCAAAAAGATGTCTACATAACGTAAACCCTCTCCCTCAAACGTGAAATTGACCGGAACCACTCTAAGCACATTAACATCCTTGGAATAAAAAACCTTGAGGTATGAAGGAAAGGAAAAAATCTTAAAAATCTGCAATTAACTCCACCGTGACCCACAAAACTGATGGAGTATAAATGAGGGAGGAATACAGACATCTGTAATATGTGTGAGAGCTTATGTTGATTGGTTCTACTTTAAATCCAAAACCTGGCCACTTGGAACTGACATCTAAATGGGGTAGGATGAGGGATTCCAATCGAAGGGGTGAACTGCAACTCATTCCCCATTCGTTTTTATGTTTCATACTGGAGGATATCATGTCATCTACACCAACAGAACACCACTGCCCTACTCTCAACTGAATGGTTTTAGCATCATTTCTATATTTTGTTTACATTGTATTTCATTAACCCATTCAGGTGGACTCTCAAACTCCACTAGAAGAAAAGGGGGTAAAACACTGTGGAGAGTCCAGAGAAACGACAACACTTAAGACAGTGCAATGGGTGACCATGAAACCCTATTTTTAAAAGCAGACCATACTGATTTATTCAATACAAAGCATGGCAGGGATGGGCAGCTATCGCCTTCTGGTTTACCCATGTAGTCCATGGTTGGGTATGGTCTGGTATGGGCAAACTTATGAAGCAATTCTTTTGCAAGGATAAACCAACAAGCAATCTTGTGGAACATCCCATCCTGCAGTGTGCATTGCATGGCCATGGAATTATAATATCAAATCAACATGGCTTGACAGTGCAGATTTGAATAGTTAAAAAATACCTGGTCAGGCACCACTCGCCACAGAATGGGACCCAAACAATGTACAATAATAATAGGGAAAAGGGCCCCTGAAAAGGAAAAATAAGAAAAAATAACTTACCCAATCAAAGTATCACTGACTTCTGATATTCTAGAATGACTACAAGCAGAAGATGATAAACCAATGAGGAAGACAACCATAATCTGATGCAAATAGTGAGAGATGAACGTATCATGGTTAGTGCACATGCCTGACTGAAGAAGTACCTCCAAAGGATAACAAAGATGAAACGTCAATGAAAAGCTAAGGTGTGACATTGGTAAGAAAACACTCGGAACAAAGTATGGGAAGAAGACGATAAAGAGGAAGAAGCCAATTGAATGAAGAGTCAAACCAAACAGGTGGAGAAAGAACAAGAAAAGATTGTTGCCAAGGAAGAAAGAGAAGGGAATGGACACTACAGAATGCAATATATCACAGAGAAGAGCATGTACAGGACATAGAAGTCTATCTGGAACAGGACGAGAATAAAGGTGTGAAATGGAAGGAAGGGAAAGCAGCTAAATGGGGGAGTTATCCTTACAAGCTGCCAAAGTGTGAGGGAGAAAGGAGAAGATATATAGAAGGATAAAGAGTACATGTAACATTGATGGCAAAAAACAGATCACCGACATCCACAGGTGAATAGGAGAAGGAATGAAAACATAGGGGAAGGTGAAACAAGGAGCACTGGGAAAGTGGTTTGAACGTAGGCAAAGTGAGGCAGTGCAGAACCACATTAATATCCCCATCCAGAAGGGCAGCCTGCCATGGTGGATGACAAATCTGGAAGGAACAGATCCACAAGTAAAATGTGCAAGATCATGTAAAAGGAAATGCATGGGACAGGACTGCCCAAAAAGTTGAGACCAAGGAGACAGAAGACCTCCAATCCAAAAGTCAAAATAGGAAATCCACATGACAAAGAACAGTGGGTTGTTTAGGGGAAAATCCTGAACCCAGAAACCAATGATCGAAAGTCCATTTGCATTGAGAAACTTCCATGTAGGAACTGTGATTGAAACAAGCAAGAAAAGAGGCTAACCCTCAGGAGAAGTCAGATCATCTCGCCAATGACCAGAGAAAAACAAAGGCATGAAGACGAAGGACAGGAAGGTCCGAATGAAATACCTATATCTGAGAGTGGCACATAAGGGACAGAGGAATAGGTAACAGAGAAGGAAGGTGTAGTTGGAGAAGCCACAGAAACAACAGTTGAGACACCCAGGAAAGAGCTATCAGAAGGACTGAACATGGAGTGTTAAGGATGAACAAAATTACCTGGAGAAGGAGAATGGGAGGATAGACAAATGTGTAGGTCCAATCCTGGCTGAAAACATTGATAGCCAGAGCAAGACGACAAGGACTGGACTGGATCATTACTCAGCCGTGACCAAAAACCATGAATCTTCCAGTTGATCAACCCATGCCCCCCATCCCTGAAAGGATGTGTCCGTGAAATTTGGAAAACTGGATGAGGAGAATGAAGTGGGACACCCGCTGACATGTGAGTCATATCTAACCACCAACATCGATCGATGATAAGGGTGGGAGGAAGGGCAATAAGAGCCAACAAAGGATCCCTGCAAAATTCCACTGGTCATGCAAAGCCCACGAAAGAACCTGCATATGAGCCTGACCTAAGGGGCTAAGGCTACCACAGAAGATCACCTCCCCAAATGCGATAGAACTTTTTGAGCTGTAAGTGAACTGAAAACCCATCAAACAAAGTTGAAGAGGAAAAGGGCAGGTCCAACTGAGATGCGTCTAGAAAGAGAATAACACCCAAATAGACTAGATATTGAATAGGTCGCAGTAAGAACTTCTCCATCTTGATTAATAGCCCATTAGAGTTGCCTCCAGGAGCAGCTGATAAGGGTAACAGATGGACTCTGTTCAGAACGAGCGAACAGTAGCCAGTCAACCAAAGAAAGAAGAAAGCACAACCTGAGAGCATATAGGTGATGAATGAATGCTCTGAATGCCTGACAAAACATCCAGGGCCAAAGAAAGTCTGAAGGGCAGTGAGCGTAAAAGAGAAACCACTTCATGGAGAATAAACTGAAGAGGTGGTTGCAAGTGACAAATATTGGGATATGCAAATAAGCATTCACAACATTCCTCTTTGTTACTAATGAAACTGGAGAAAAAGCCTATCTAATGGTGAGAAATGACTCCAAGGTAAAACAAGGCAGACTGAAAAAATAGAATGAGGTGGGACAAACCTAGTACAGGCTGCCAGTCTCCAAAATCTCAGATACATGATTGAAATCATATCATCAAAGAAAAAATATACAGAAATACTGAAAAGAAAGAGGCAGCAAACGTTCCAGGAACAAGGTCACATCACAACCCAGAAAATCCCAACTACGGTGAAACCACATGTGTAATGCGAGAGCAAAAAATGACAAACGAGCCAACATGGAAGTAATAAGGAATCATAGAAAAATGGTGAATTGGATAAAACATAACATACCTGAGAAATCATTTTGTAAAATGCCATATTAGGCCTAGCTGATTGTACAGGAAGAATAAGGAAAAAAACAGCAAAATCTGGTAAACAGGCTATCAAATCTTCATTAGCCTGAACAGGTTAGGCTTGTTCTGGAGGATTAGTGGGGCAAGTTCAGAAGAAGAAGGTTTATCCAGATAACGATCAATCTCATGAAGGATAATAGCTGAGATATATACAAAACGGGTCTCCCTCACCTGCAGCCTGTGAAATAATGATAGAGTATAACACCTGAAGTGGGAACATGAAAATCAGAATTCATGGTAGAAATACATAAGTGAAACAAAAGTGTTTGATGTAAAATGTGCATGTGTGAGAAGAAAAATAAAGACTGGTAAATTAAGTTAAAATATTTCTTCAATGTAAAGAAAACATAATAATCAAGAAATCCCACTTCAAAAATTAAACTATTAAAATAATGATTCACATGAAGAGCACCAAAATAAAAAACGTCTGAACACGAGTACTGCCAAATGAGAAGTGATAATTTGGTAGAATTGAATAGAGAGAGTCATGTGCATCAGAAGAGTATGTCACATTCTTTTTGGTGGAGGGTTGATGCATAATGATTTGCATGAGAGACACATTGGAATTGACTGATTTCAATGGAGGGAAGATAGTAAGCTTGTGGCATGCGTAAAAAAAATGTTTTGCATATAGAAGGCAGCACTGAATGAGAATAGTTATTTATGTGAGCGGAAGTAATATACCATATTGGAAATCCACAGACAACTTAGTAAAAACACTTATTAAAAAAGTAAATTTTTTGTGTAAACCAAACTTGTTATTTTACTAAAAGCTTGCCAAATTTTGTAAAGAAACTCTCAGTACCTTCAGACTTTTAGCATGTATAGTTTCCTGGTTACATAGAAGTTACAAGGTCAGTTAAACTGATGGAGACCACATGCATAGGGTTAACAACTAATGCATTTTAAAATAAATTACAATATATAAAACAAGTTTAGAGAGCCAGATTTTTAGGGCAGTTTTAATTGATTTTCAAGCACAGTATGTAACTGAGAAGTTAAGAAAATCCACAAAATGAAACCCAACATGTAAGGAAACTTATCAGATGATTTATGTTCATATTATAGCTTTGTTACTTTAAAAATGTCAGCGGCTCTTGATCTAATTTCAATCGTTAGAAAATAGCAAAAAAAAAGAGTAAAAACACGTTTAAAGACCTGAAAGGTTTTTAATCAATAATCCAAAATCTTGATATGCTGAATACGTATAAGCACACACATAACAAAGATTACAATTTCAAAATGAATACTTTTTTAACTAATGACTGTTTAACTATCAACAGGCTACAAATTGCTTCTACATATTAAATATTAAAATTAAATCTAAAAAAAAAGAAAAACATTTACTCACTTCATGGCCATTTTGATGTGATAAGGTACAAATTCTTTTTTCACAACTTCTTTCTTTTGTGATTTTTTAGTTGCTTTCATTTTCTCACGTTTTCCTCTTCTTGCAGCATAGTATCTGACCTGAAGAAAAGTATACATAAAATGTTAGTCTCATTGAGTTTCAAAAATGTTTAAAAAACTTAATTAACTTTTTTCCAACAAAGAAATAATTTTTGAAACTGATATTTTAACTAACAAGTTTTGCAAAAATATTTGGCATATAGTTAATCAAAGTGTTTATTCACTCACAGAAACATTTAATCAAAGAATTAAAAGAAAAGGTCAAAAACTAGATAAGCAGTGTAAGCAGATATTTATAATCCAGTTTTGACCCAACTGCAGAACTGGGCACATTAGTCTCAAACTGTATAAAGCAAATCCATTAACCAGAACAATTTATTGCAGTAAGAGCTAATATAATCATAGGGTATCACTGTAGATCAGTAGTTTGAAACAGTTGTTAACATTTGTCAAATTACCATTCAATTCTGGAAAATGCAAGTTATATTTTGAAATTTAATGTTTTTGATCCTTACATTTTACAATTTTAGGACTAAAATTAATTAAAAACACGTACTTACCTCTGGAATACTGAAAGCCTTTTATTACTGAGTTACATTACAATGTAACTCAAAGGTTCTAGATGTCCTTGACACAATGCAAACCGTGACAATTTAACCATAACCCTCCATTTTCTCTTCTTCAACACATTTATTGTAAGTGCCATAAGAACTTACATAAGCTCCGCTTTTCCACAATAATTTAGATTTCTAAGATGCAGTCATGCAGTTATGGTGAGGGAAAAGTGGTTGGGAAAGTATTTAAGAAGTAAATTCCTGTGTGAAGTTCATTTTAATCCTAATAATGTAACATGCAAATCAGGTATTTACCTCTGAAACACTAAAAGCCAGAATATTGACAATGAAAAGGAGGTAGGAACCAGAGAATGTAAGACAAGGGTACCAAGCAGGAAAGTAATAACACAGACCACACTAAAGGTGTGGTCAAGTAGAAATGGAGAAGACTTCATAACCAGGTTCTAAGAACTGGATTCAGAAAGGAAAAAAAGGGTTTGCATTGGGTAGCAATGTGTCTACTTGTGGAGCCAAAAATGGGAGCACAGGTGGTGGTGTAAACTGGTAAGAGGAAAATTTATAAGTTTTTCATACTCCTACACTGGAAGGACCTCAGTCAAAATGAAAAAGTTACAAAACCAATCAAACAAGTGGGTGCTAAGGGAGAACTGAAGAAAAATCCAAGCCTTCCCAAGGAGAAGACAGTGCAATGGAAACATCAAAATAAAATAGAAAATCATTTTATTACAAGTTACAGCTTTTACAGTAAAGAAGAATACTTTTAGAACACATACAACATTTCGATCACTGGTGTGATCATTCTCAAGCACGTAACTAATAACAGTTACAGTAATGAAGGTTTTTAGTATTTTAAATCAACATTCAACAATAAGATTGTTATATATATATATATATATATATATATATATATATATGTATATATACACACACACACACACATATA